GCTGGCTGACCCCGGTAAGGTCACTTGAAACTATTCAAATGCGCCCCCTCAGCACACCGCCCTGGCCAGCAGCCTTGGTTGCTCAGGTCTCAGGCTGGCAGTGCCTGCAGAGATGCTGTTCTGGAATGAAAAGGTGTTAATGGAGCTATTAAAATGTCTTTGTTGGCAGGGACATTGTGCTGTTGATTGGTTATTTTTTTGGATGATTGGGTCGGTAAGGTCACTTGAAACTATTCAAATGCGCCCCCTCAGCACACCGCCCTGGCCAGCAGCCTTGGTTGCTCAGGTCTCAGGCTGGCAGTGCCTGCAGAGATGCTGTTCTGGAATGAAAAGGTGTTAATGGAGCTATTAAAATGTCTTTGTTGGCAGGGACATTGTGCTGTTGATTGGTTATTTTTTTGGATGATTGGGTGCTTGCACAAGAAGCTGTGCTTAGGCAAATTAGAATGATGAAAGTAGTGAGTAACTAAGTGCTTCCAGAATAGTGGTAGAAATGTAGCTGTGTTAGTCTGGTGCAGCTGAAACAAAAAACAGGACTGTGTAGCACCTTAAAGACTAACAAGATGGTTTATTAGGTGATGAGCTTTCATATCTACCTCTTGCCCCCTTCCTCCCCTCCATCCCCCTTCTGTTCTGAAATTTGATTTGTCCTTTTCATATGTGTTCATTTTTTTTAATTGTATCCTTTTGTGTATATATGGTTGTGACAATTTTCTTCCACTATTTGATCTGAGGAAGTGGGTCTGGCCCATGAAAGCTCATCACCTATTAAACTATCTTGTTAGTCTTTAAAGTGCTACACAGTCCTGTTTTTTGTTTAAGTGCTTCCAGAAATTGTAGTGGAGTAAAAAGTATGACTTTTACTCAAGTAGGTTTTTTTTATTTTATTTTTTTTAGAAAATATATCACAAAAATAAATTACTTGAGTAAAGTACAAATACTGAAAAAATATACTTCAGTAGTGTAATAAAGTATTTCTACTTAGTTACTCTCCACCTCTGTGGGTGCGGCAGCAAACCAGAGGATCTCTTACCGCCTTTGTGCCAGTGGTGGGGACAGTCGACATGGAGAGATCGTCTGTCTGAGATTTCTTGCGAGGTGGTCGAAATCCCCTGATCCATCTCCTGTACTCCTCTCTCACCTGGGAGTCAAGGACACGGTCACTGCACCGCGTAAGGAACTCTGACGAGATCAGACATGGCCGCCATGGGGCCGGTGAAGGAGCTGGGTGAGCGCTGACGGGCCATGGGCGTTACCTGGCGATTGAGGAGACAGTGCACCAGGAAGATGAAGGCTCCCTGCAGGCTGTTGATGATGTTGAACCAATACGCCATGAGCGTGGCTGCTGGGCCGACTTGGAGAAGACCAAGGATCCATGTACAGCCCAGAACGAAGAGCTGGACGATGGTTTTAAAGATCATTAGTCTGGAGAAAGGCAGATAGAGCCCGTTACAACAACCCGGTGGGAGGATCGGGGTCAGCAGGGTCTGGCCAGAGGGGGGTGGAGCTACTGGCCCTGCTTTCCTGTGTGGGACGGGGTTACTGTCAATGCGAACACAATGGGCCTCGTTCCGATGGATCCTAGATACGCTGTCCCCCTTCTGCAGTCCCTCACTCCCTCTCCATGCCCAGGAACATCCAAACCAAGACACCTGACCCTCCACGACTGCTCCGATGCCTTCTCACCTGTGGCCTCTGAGGGTGGACACATCCGCATTGAGGGAGGACAGACTGCTTCTCAGGATCCACAGGGTCAGGGCAAAGAACGTCACATTTATCTGTGGGCAGCGGGAAATGTTTCCTGTGAAATGTCCCGTCCGGGGCCGGTCAGTCCAGCTCAGTCAGAGAACAATCCCAGGGGACCGAGCCGAATAATTGCTCATGGCCAGTGGGAATCTTTCCCCCTCCTGTAAGGTCCCCAGCAGCTCTCAGTTTCTCCCTACACAGGGAGCTGATGGCACAGCCAGGGCTAAGATGGATCAATGGGATCAAAGAGGCCAGATTCTGCTCAGGGTTCAATATGGATCCACTCCAGTGGAGTAAATAGGGTTCACACTGGTATAACTGAGCAGGATTTGGCTCAGAGGATGTGTCTAGACTACAGGGTTTTGTTGACAAAAGTGGACTTTTGTTGACAACACTATACCTGCGTCTACACTACCGCCAAGTTCTGTTGCGACAGAACTTGGCAGTTTTGTCGACAGCGGTAAACCTCATTCTACGAGGAATAACTCAGAGTTCTGTCGACAGAAGGCGTTATTGAGTCTACACTGTCCTTTGCATCTACACTGTCATGTCGATAAAGCGGCTTGTCGTATCTGTCAACAAAAGCCTGTAGTCTAGACGTACCCAGAGAGTCCAGATTCTGCCTCTAGAATATTTCCTGCACTTTCAGGCTGTAAGAAATTCCCTACTCACCCATCCCCCAGTTTTTCCCCAGGGGTTGAGGAGGAATATGTAGGGACAGCTGTTTCCACCCCACCACACACACACACACATAATCACGGTATGGTGTAGCCCTTTCCCTTCCCCATTCCTTGGGCAATTAGCTAGACTGGGCCAGACCCTTTCTGTCTCTTGGCCAAACTCCTGCTGACGTCCCTGGCAGCTGTGCCTGAGTAAAGGCTGTGGGCTGGGGACAGGGCACAGGGACAGATCCTGCGACTGGCCAAAGCAGATGAACCAGGTGGGTCCTAACTGGGTCTTTCCTTGTGTTTTATGGACACACCTTCACCTCCCTGCTTCCCTCAAATCAGTGGGGCTGCCGAGGTGGGAGAAGGGGGCTGGGATTCTGTGAGGTACCCACCAGGATTATGACACAGACTGGCCCCAGGAAACTCCAGCGAAAGCCTCTGTCCAGGCTGAGCCAGCAGCTACAGGCAGGGAGAAGAAGAAGCGCATTACCCCCAATGTAAGAGCATGGGACATTAATATGATCACTGCCCTGTGAGCAACAGGTGTCACAAGGCAGCTGCTCTCACCCGCACGATAGATGTCTGCCAGCCTGTGACATGGTGACCCTCTTGCAGGCCAAGAGATTCCACCACCCCCATCAACCGCAGCTTCCCTGACTTTCTGCCAAACCCTCCTCTCCCACCTGCAACAGACTGTTCTGGTGGGGCGTGTCAGAGCCATGGAGGACCAGGTAGGCAGCTGATGTAGATCGACCTCATTGCACAGAAGCAAGAGGCATGACACAGATTTACACCAGTAGGGGGGGTCTAGCCTGGGGTGTCTAGAACAAGCCCCACTCTGGTTTAGTGGAGTTGCTCAATTTAGAGGGGAGACCCTCAGGGATTTGCCCACAGTACAAAGGTGCGTTTGTTCCCAGCACCACAAACCCAGCCTGGGACTTTGCTGGCTTGTTGTTCTGCAGGGTCAGTGGGGCGAGTTGTAGCTGCCTGGCAGGTGGGCAACTCAGCTACTGTGCTGGGGCGGCTTGCTGTTCCTGGGGCGGGGGGAGGCTGCTGGGGGACTGCCCTCAGGCAGGGTGAGCAGGGCAATGCAGGCTACAGACACGGAGGCCACATCCCAGCTCCCCTTCGCGGTGGGCGCTGCACTTACTGCTCGGAAGTTCCGTAGCCTTTAGGATTCACTGCGGCAGAAATAGCCACGATCAGGGCTGGGAATCCGTAGCCAAACGGGTACATGTGTCTCTTCTTGAACCGTCTGATGCTGGTGTAATACACCTCTTTCAAGGTCCTGGCGGTGAGGAAGAGGTGCAGCCCCTCCAGGAGCATCCAGGTGAAGCAGGCCAGGAAGAGGTAGTGTAAGAGGCCAGCAATTACTGCACAAGCCACAGAGACCTCAGGGACACTGCAGCTGGAATGGGATTGGTTGGATATGGGAGAGACCTGCATGGGGGTCACACCAGGATTCTTGTTAACACAGCTCGCCAGTTACAGTGCTGCAGAGCTGGCAGGTTCCTCAGTCGGGGTGCGGGGGGGCGGGCTGCTCATTATGGATGCAGGAAGGCAGCAGAGATTATTGGTTAGAGCAGAAGAGAAGGCCTCAGGGCAGCCAGGTTCTCTTCCTGACTCTGCCGCACATCCCCCGAGTGACCCTCGGGCAAGTAACCTAGGAAGGGATTGGAGGCCCAGGGAGACGGCGACATAGGGGTAGGACTGATCAAATTCCTGGGGACAGCGAGACTGAGGCTCCTGTGTCCAGTGTAAAGGAGCCTCACAGGGAGTGGGAACGTCCCCCTGGAATCCCGTCTGTGTCCTGCACACCCAGAAGAGGAGGTTACTCACTTTCTGGTAACTGATGTTCTTCAAGATGAGCATCCGTGGGGGTGCTCCACATTAGATGGTGAGCATCCCAGTATCTCTCAACTCAGTGTTTTCTAGCAGTGCTTTGGGGGCCGTGCATGCATAGTGCGTGCGGGTCTCCCCAGGTGCCCTTAGTTCCTTCTCTATCCGGAACTCGGCGAGGATGTTTGATATCTTGATATTAAGGTTTTCCGAAGTAGAGGGGAGGAAGGGAGGGTAGTGGAGCACCGCCAGGGATGCTCATCTCAAAGAACGTCAGTTACTGCTAAAGGTGAGTAACCTTTGCTTACCTTGCATGGAAGTAAGTGGGCTACATTATAGGGATAGAATTAAGCATGTGTTTTGATTTGGTGAATTGCGCCGTTTGTAGCACAGCTTTCACTAATCTAGTAAGCATGATGCTATGTGGCGCAACAGTTGTAGATAGTCATGAGGCAGTATTGAGGGCATCTCTTGGGAGGACTGTAGCAAGTGTCTGATTCGGATGAGCCTGTCGGTAGGCAGAAAGGGCCTGGCTGTGATGGAATTGAAGTGTGCCACAATGAATTGAATGGTTTGAGTAGGTGTAAGCATTGATTTGCTGTGGTTTACCTGGAATCCTATGGAAATGTGGAGCCACTGGTTCTATTGCCCCTATATGGAGGAGGTGCTCCACCTCTTGTTGTAAGATTGTGTCGTGAGAGGGGTCCCTGAAGAGGGGGAGGGTGGGGAGAGGAGATGGTTCGAATTATCCAATTGTCTGAGGTAATAGCTTTTCAGGTTTTTCTCCCCTCCCCCTCCCCCCCAGAACAAACAAAAATTGAATAAGCTAATGTACAGGGCTCGCCGAACCGCAGCAAGCCCCGCTTGCCAGCCGCGTTGTCCGGAGATCTGCGCATGCACAGATCGTTCTGTGCATGCACAGATCGCCCGAACCCAGCTCTTCCAGGTTACAATCTACTCGCCCATGGTGAGTAGATTGTATTATTTGTCAAGCCCTGCTAATGTATTTTGAGACTCCTGGGTAGGTAGTGTGGCATTTGGACTGACGACTGGCCTCTACAATTTGCATATTAGATTGTGACGAATGGTTGGGGTTGTTATTCTGAGTACGTTGTCTTTGTTGTCTACCCCGCCGGTGTTGTTGGTATGGTGGATGGTCTTGCCTCTGATAACAGTATGTGGGTACCTTCTCTGATATGGTTGGTATCTGAATTGTCTTGGGGTATGTCTACACTACCCCGCTAGTTCGAACTAGCGGGGTAATGTATGCATACCGCACTTGCTAATGAAGCCCGGGATTTGAATTTCCC